GCCGAACACGAACACAAATATTTAAATCGAGCCGAACACGAACACACTGTTCACGAGCCGATTTCGAACACGAGCCGATTTCGAACACGAGCTATTTCGAACGAGCCGAACACGAGCTAAGCCTGAGCTCGCTCAAGCTCGGCTCGTTTACAGCCCTACTTGGGGCAAACGCTGTGATTTCCTTGCTCATCCGATCAACAATCTCTGGAAACATGGTTGAGCCACCACTAAGCACAATATTACCATACAAATCCTTCCTGATGTCCACATCGCACTTCATAATGGAGTTATATGTCGTCTCATGAATGCCAGCAGACTCCATTCCCGACCCCATTCCAATCATGGATGGCTGGAAGAGAACCTCAGGGCATCTGAAACGCTCAGCTCCTATGGTGATCACCAGCCCATCAGGAAGCTCATAGGTTTTTTCGACGGAAGAGCTATTCTTCGCAGTCTCCAGCTCCTGTTCGTAATCCAATGCAACATAAGCGAGTTTCTCCTTCACATCCCTCACAATTTCTCGTTCGGCGGTAGGGGGTGAAGGGGAGGCCAGTGAGAATCTTCATCAGAGCATTGGTAAGGTCACGACCGACGAGATTCAAATGGAGGATGGCATGAGGAAGGGCATATCCTTCATATATTGGTACGGTGTGACTAACGTCGTCACCAAAATCAAGAACAATGCCCGTTCTTTCTTCTGTTGTTTGTTTCTGATGAAGGCGTCGCTCAAGTTTCGGGAGGACAAGCGACCCTTGCTCGGGCGAAGCTTCCCATCAGCATCCCGTTCCTTTTCGGCGCCGCCGCCGGTGATACGCGCTATCTCCGCTTTGATCTCACCACCGCATTCGAGTCCAGTCTTGCTTTCCCCGTTTCTTATCGTCCCAACGAGCCCTTCAACCCTTTCACCCTATCCGTCAAGACCGGCATCGGGGCCTTTGGCTCTCCCGTTGGCGCCCCCTTTTCCATGATTACGGAGTTCAACCTCTTCTCTACCTACAACGTCTTCGGATCCCCTATTTTTTCCGTCATTTTCAAGCCCCGCCTCAGCGATTTATGCTTCAGAAAATCAGCTTTGTTTTCGTCATCAAGCGGGATCATCCCCGTATCGGACGGTGAAGAGATGTTTCCGCCTACTCCGTCACCAGCGCCAGGGGCCAACGGAATCCACCACGGTGGAAAAGCGAACGACATCATGGTGAACTTGCCTGCCGCACGGGGAGAAATATAAACCGTATTCGCTGCCGACAGAAGAAGATGCAATGATGCGATTGTACTCATCGATCATGTAAAGATGCAACGATGCAACTATTCGAGGTCTTTATTCGGAAGTTGGTACTTGAGGGTGAAGTTCTGACCACCAAGAAGATGCCGGGAGAGAAGAAGAGTGCCCCTCC